AACAAGATACTATTTTTTGTGAACAAAAATGTCAGTTCTAGCAAAAACAGTCTATCAGTTAAACTGTTCCGCACTACATCTGCGAACAGTGGCTTGCAGGAAGTGTAAATTAAGACACAGTATCGGTGCATTGTCTTTAAAGTGGTTTACAGTCATCTGGAATTTCAGGTAAAGCTCCAGAAAAGGTTGGCAATTCTACAGAGAATTTGATTCCAGGCTTCCAGCCGGCTCCCTCAACAACCCAGGCAGATGCTTTTGGTTCCTCTTCCTTCGCAGCTGGATCAGGTAAGCACATGGACTTGTTCTGAAGGAGCTGTGCTCGGGATAAGATAAGTGACAGGGCAGATACTCTTCTGCATCCTCCTCCAGAGCCATATCCATTTGACTGATCTCATTTTATCTTGGGGCATCTTGGTAGCAAACACGAGATGGATTTGGGCTCCTTAATTGTAGTGTGACAGGTAGGACATGGGCAATGGGTGACCTGAGCCTGCGAAGCATGTTTGATGCATTTCAGTTGGCTTTTGAAGGCAGAATGACACAATCTTCAGGAAGAGAACCACTGTTCTGGTGAGGTGGGTACTGAGCCAAGGCTTCAAGTCTATAAGCAAGTTGATCTCTTGCTTATCAAAGCCATGCAGAGCTAGCCACCCTGAAGAGAGCAGTCATTGGGCATTGAAAGGCTTAGCTGGAAACAAGAGGACTCTGAGAAATGCTGGATAGATAGATATGCAAATTCTTCAATTTGTCCTGATGAGGTGTGTCAGGAGGGTGGAGGGTGGGGGGAGGGCTAACAGAATGAAGAAAATGAGGATGCTGGGTAAAATGCAAAGTATCTGTGACTGGGGCAGACTTTTCCCTGCCTCAAAGAAGACATTGTGACTACTTAAATAGAACCTATTAATTACCTTGTAAATTTAAAAAAAAAAAAAGAAAAAGAAAAAGTGGGAGGGTGAAGAGGGGTTGATGAGGAGAGGTTGGACTGCAGAAGGTCACTTGGGCAGTCTAAGGAACTGATCCCATCAGTGTTTGGAAACCCAAGGAGTTCTGCACAGGGGGCCAAGCTCCTGCCCAGAAAGATGCTTTCATGGGGTCAGGGCCCATGACTTTTTTTATTTGTTTTTCTGCCATTCTCCTATAAAGCCTGCACCAGCTCCTCCAGCCTCAGAAGTCCCTTGCTGAAAGAGGCTGTATGTCATGCATTTCTTCTTCAGCAGGGGTTCCT